AAAAAAAAGTTTAAAATCTATCACATTACTTACAATTTTTTTCCTTGAGACATTTCTATTTTTTTTTTAAAGCAGCTTTAGTTACTTAAAAAGTTCTTCATTAGTAAACAAACATGTTCCTTTCCATATTTTCTATCATTGATCTTTATTCACTTTCTAGAGTTAACAGAGTAAGTCTATTCTTTTTTTTTTTTTTTCTTAAATGGGAACCCTTGAAATACATAAAGACAGATATATAATTAATCACAACTTGAGAATTGTACTGGGAACTTTATATACATTACACCTTTAATCTTCATGACGACCTTTATCATGTATATATCTTGTGTCCATTTTATAAGTGAGGAAGCTGAGAAAGTGAGAAATTTGATCTAAGGTCACACAGCTAGTTAAGTGGCACTTTTTGACTGTGCATCCATTTAACCCCAAAGGCTGAGAGGAAGGGAAAAAAAAGCTCTTTCATATGCCTATCAAATAAACCAAACAAGGTTCATTCACCAGGCATGAGATAATCATTAAGATTATCACTGTTATTTATCCCTAAGGAAACATACACTACTGCTTAAAAATAATTTATTCTAGAATATTGGCTAATGTCAACCTTGTGCTAAATGGGCTTTGATTTGCAGAATCTGCTTTCCTTTTTTAAAATTAAGAACAATTTTGGCCTGCTTCTCACAGAGTTTTCCTTTGTTCTTCACGATACCTTAAGCAAGGTTTCCCAAATTTCCCTGATGGTACCTCTTGGGGAACTGTTTTAACACAAATTCATAAGCTCTATGTCAGACCCTCTGAATCAGAATCTCCAGGGAGGGGACCTTGGAAACCATTTTTTTTTTGTTTCATTTTTTTAACTTTTTCAAAAAAAAATTTTTTTTTCCAACGTTTTTATTTATTTTTGGGACAGAGAGAGACAGAGCATGAATGGGGGAGGGGCAGAGAGAGAGGGAGGCACAGAATCGGAAACAGGCTCCAGGCTCTGAGCCATCAGCCCAGAGCCTGACGCGGGGCTCGAACTCACAGACCGCGAGATCGTGACCTGGCTGAAGTTGGACGCTCAACCGACTGCGCCACCCAGGCGCCCCTCATTTTTTTAACTTTTTACCTGGAAATAATTTCAAATTTATCAAATGTGGCAAAAAAAAAAAAAAAAAAAAAAAAAAAAAAAAAAGGATAAAGATCATCCATAAATCCTTTACCCAAGATTTACCTATTGTTAGCATCTTATCCTGTTTGCTTTATCATTCCTTCTGTTTGTTTTTGTAGCACACACATGTGCATACATTTTTTTGTGAACCATGTGGTTTTGCAAACCATGTGAGGATATATTACATCATGGTCCTTTATCTCTACATACTCCAGGGTATATTTTCTAAGACTAGGAATATTCTCTTCCATACTCAGAGTGTAGCAATCAACTTCATAAACTTACTTTGAGGGGAACCTGGGTGGCTCAGTTGGTTAAGTGTCTGCTCTTGTTCTTGGCTCAGGTCATGATTTCATGGTTTGTGAGACTGAGCCCCACACTGGGCTCTGTGCTGATAGCACAGAGCCTGCTTGGGATTCTCTCTTCCCCTCTCTCTCTCTGCCCCTCCCCGGCTCTATCTCAAAATAAATAAATAAACTTAAAAAAATAAATTTACTTTGATATAACATTTCAACTAATCTGATCTACCATTCACATTCTGTACATGATTTAATAATAATACACTTGGCAGCATTTTCCCCCAGCCAGTACAAGTTATGGTCTAGGATGAGATGCTGTCTTTAGCCACCATGTCTCTTTAGCCTCCTTTAATCTGGAACATTTTCCATAAGGATTCTTTGTCTTTCACGATATTTACATTTAAAAAGGACATAGTCCCATTCCTACTTTATTTGAACTTCCTTATTTTGTGTTTGCTTGAGGTTTCCTAATGACTGGAGTACTGCATAAATGATCCTGTATCCCCTGAGTGTCCCTCAGTAACACCCAGTAAAGGTACTGCCTAATTTCTCTACTGTATATCTGTTCTTTTTTTTTAGCTAATAAGCAGTCTGTGAGGATACACTTTAAGACTATGCAAATATCCTGTTCCTCATCAAAATTATGCCCTCAATTCAGCATCCATTGATGAATCCTGCCCAAGCCTCTTTTACCTGATCCTACCACAACAAGTGCAAAATGAGGGTTTTCCTCCAGCGTGCCCTCCACATTTTTCAGAAAGCCCTTGGCATTTACAGTAAGCAGAGAAGCTTTCTCCCCCACTTATTTATCTATTTGTAATCGAAATGGATTATGAATTTTGCAGTGATTTATAACTCCTTATATTATCCTTATAATTCTATATTAAAACTATTCCTAATTCCTAATAATAAGTAATGATAATTCCTTAATTATTTTGGTGCTCAAATTGTTCCAGATTTGGCCAGTGGGGATCTGCTTCTTTAATTTGGCTCCTGTGTCCTTGTGACCTGCCCCATCATTCTTTCGAGCATTTTCCTTTCTGTCATGACAAGCAGTTCCAGCTTTGACCTGTAGCAATCCTGCCTCTGTCCTGGAATCAGCCATTTCCCTTAGGAACACTAGTTCTTCTGAGAGGGTATTAACAGTATTGGAGACAAAGGTCTGGGTGCTAGGTGTACTCATTGGATTGGGGTGTCTTTACTTTGTGGCCCTTTCAATGCACACAGGTAGGAAATATTTGCATGCATATGTACATATATCCACTTAAATATATAGATATCTCTACATATCCCAATATGTTCAAAATCACTAATTCACATTAATACCCTCAATTCCAATGAGCCCCATGAGGCTGTTTGTCGGCTGTATTTTTAATGAGTACCCCAAGTAACTGTTCTACTTAAGGATGTTTGGGAAACATTGCTCAGGACTGGTGAAACTCAGCCACAAGTTCTTTAGAGCTTTTCTGCAAAATTCAACTGGATTAAAGGACAGACTAATTTAAAACGCTGAGTGTTCTCCATTTATTTCAGTCATCAGTTCCCTCTTTCTACTGAGTATCTGTTTTACTAAACTCCATTCAAAGGATAACTATTTTTGAAGGTGTAAGTGTAAATTAGAAAGTGACTACTTTCTCCATCATCACTAACTAACGTTCAAAGCTTTGAGTCTGATACTCTTTCTAGTTTTTCTTGTTATCAATGTCAACCTAAATCTTTTTAAAAAACTCTTATTATTAGTTTCGGGGGACATGCCTCAGCACATTTTACCCTTAAACATTCTGGATACCTTCTTAGGAATACTACCAACCATATATCTGTGTGTATAAGGTATACCCATGGCATCTGAGTGTGTGTGTGTATGTTATATGCTTTCAGCCATCCTCTTTCCTTTTTTTCCCACTAACTAGTTTCACTTGCAATACTATAATTCAATTGCTTAACCTTTAGGGCATATTTAACAACACTCACCATATACTATAAAGGACTACCAACAGGTAAATTCTGTACTTCATGAACCAGGCCTTCCTTGTTGGGTTAGAATGAGGTCCAGAATAGTTTCTTTTACTGTTATCAGATTGTGGCAGACTACTCTGTACTGGTAGAGATACAGGGGATCCAGAAAGAGGGGATCCAGAAAGAGGAATGGCAAAAAATCCTAAGGGGATGGCAGCCCAAAGAGAAGGAGGTTCTTCGGCGATTAACCAAACATATTTCTGTAGATGTGCAAGGGATATCCTGAATGAATCAGGAATGGCTCTGAATGAACAAAATCAGCAATGAATTGGCTTGGAGCAGCACAGAGAGCTGTACTAGTAACTACTCCTTATACCCGTTTTCTCGTCTTTCAAATGAAGATATTAATTATATCTACCTCATAGGGTTTTAATGAGGATTAGACAAGCTAACACAAGCTAGGTAATTAACAAGGTTATTCCTATGAAACAATTCTTTTTCTCATATCAATAAAGTGACAAAATGTATTCAGTAGAGGATCTCTCATCCCTCTGAATAAACTTTTACTCTTATCCCTCTCACGGTTATTTTTGTGATGCATAAGCAACATTATTATTTAAGAACTAAATGAATCCACACGGAAATGACACAATAAAAGCAAGTCTATTACACACAAAAAACTTGAAGGAAATTTCTAAATGTCTAAAACTCTTTTGTGAGCACAATAATTATAGATACAATTAATCAGATTTATGAAAAGTGATATTTTTCAAAGAGCTATTTTCTAACCTATCTATTACTTTCAGGTATTAAGGGCTTCCCAATGTGTTGAAGACAATCAAATTCACTAATACAGGCTATTTGTAGATTAATGGATTCCTGTAAATGCTCATTTGCTTGTAAAAAAAAAAAAGCGCATACAAATTTCAAATTCAGGACACATGCACTAACACTCTAAAAGATACCCAACAGCAACAAGACAATCATGATACTTACTTCATCTCTATAAAGTGGACTAGTATAATACATTATGTCCATTGCACTGCTGTTCAACATATCCCTTAAACCGCGTACTTTGTCAGGAGTAATGGAATCAACAGTGTCTACAAATTAAAAAAAAAAAAAATTTACAGAAGATCTTTGTTTTAGGAAAAATATGAAAAAAAATTATATTCTCTGAAACAATAAGTCTTTAAGTTCATGTTTAAGTGTTCAAGAGTGGTTTGGAGAACAGTATGGAATTTCCTCAAAAAACCAAAAATAGAACTACCCTACAATCCAGTAATTGCACTATTAGGTA